GGGGGGGATGGGGGCGGTGGATGTCCCCTGGAGCATCCCCGAGACATCCCCGTCCGCGCTGACCCACCGTACCCGGGAGATTCTTCCCGGTCAGTGGGTGTCCCCCCCCCGCTTGCTCGGATGGGAAGGTTTGTTTCTTGTCCCCTTGGAAAGTGGAGGCGGGAGGAAAGCGGCGGACGAGGGTTGAGGCTTGTCCGGTTGCCGTTGGAGACCCGACCTGCCCTGCTGCCTGCCCGACAGCACCGGGCAGGCAGGGAAAGCTGTGCTGGGGAGAAAAAGCACCTTGGGATCCTTGTCCCATTGCCAGGCACCTGGGGATCCTTCTCCCCATCGCACATCGCTTGGGATTCGTGTCCCATGGCACATCCCTTGGGATCCGCGTCCCATTGCACATCCCTTGGGATCCGCGTCCCATTGCACAGCCCTTGGGGTCCTTGACCCGTTGCATGGCCTTGGGGGTCCTTGTCCCATCGCATATCCCTTGGGGTCCTTGACCCATTGCACACCCCTCGGGATCCTTCTCCCCATTGCACACCCCTCGGGGTCCTTGACCCATTGCACACCCCTCGGGATCCTTCTCCCCATTGCACACCCCTCGGGATCCTTGTCCCATTGCACGCCTCTTGGGATCCCACTGCTATTCCACGCACACTGTTTCACCTGTATTGAGCTGCTCGGGACTGTTGTGGCATCCCAGGCCTTGGCAGGGAGGTGCCAAGATGGTCTGTGTCCCCAGGAGGCTGGAACAGTTTCATGCTGAGTTGTAACTTTAACAGAGAAAGCTCAGGGGAGTTTGCTACTTGCTTGGGAAGTGCTTATTTTCAGCACTCTCCAGGATCAGTTAATTATTGCTGGAAAAAAATTATTGCTAAGATCTTATAATTAGGCAGCCTACCGAGACTCTGCTGCTTGGAAGGCAGCAGAAAGCAAATGTTCTTTGTGAAATGTTTCTTGCGTGTGTGTGTGTGTGTGAATAGAGCTGCCCGGGCAGAGGGCTGGCATTTGTACTTGCGCATTACCGGAGAGCTGATGCACGTTGGCGGCTCAAAAGACCCTGCAAAATAATGAGAAAAAAAAAAAGGCAAGGAAAGAAAACCTGCTAAAAGGCCTCCTGTTGTCCTTATAGAATCGGGTCCCAAATCATTATAATCTATTTGTGGAGCTATAGCTGCCTTTAGGACAAACTGTTAGTTCATCTTTTGCAGGACCAGGACTGCCTTTATATCCTGTTTGAACAGTCCCTGGGCCGTGGGGTCCAGGGCGCTACCGCAGAGTGCCTGCTGCTAATAATAACGCGGTAAGGAGTTTACCCGCTCTGATCCGGCTAAAGACGGCACCGAGGCTGGCATCAACATTATCAGCCTCCGATCTGTCCCGAGATTAGACGGATAAAACTCACACAAGAAAAGGTTGGGCTCTGAAGTGGAGACTTGATCCAGAATGGAAGGGAGTGGGGGCTCTGATTCAGAACGGAGGGGTTTGGGCTCTGCCCTGGCAGCCTCGGCTGTAGGGACGGGATCTGCAGAGGGGCAGGATTTGGAGCTGAGGAGCGCACGTCAAAGCCGCCGCGTTCAGGGTGTTCTCATTTCCTTTGCTCTCTGAGTTATAATTTGTTCCACATTGCAGTGCCGGGGCGGCCTCTCCCTCTGCTCGCAGCATCCAGGCTGCAGTCGTTGCCATTAGACCAAGGCTGTGACTTGAGTGGTTTCCGTCCAAAAGGAAAAAAAAAAAAAAGGAAGAAAAAAAAGGGAAATTTTTCAAATAGAGATCTGGGGAAATAGCTTTTCTGGTTGCTGTTCTGGGACAGTTATAGCTGAAATCTCATCGCCCATCCGTGCAGAGCTGTGTCTGTGCCGGGACGAGCCCCAGGGAAATTCCAGGAGATTAAAAAGTGTTTTAATAGTGTTGCTGCTCTTCCCAAAAGGTAGTAAGATGACCTGGTAGCTACAGGTTGATTGGCTTGATAGCATTCCCCCGGGGAGAAGAGGAAGAAACCTAGCTCAGGCTTTAATTGATTAAAGACTTCAGCACTAGGAATAAATTCCTGCCATCCAACGTGGCTGTATGGAAAATAACTCCTGGCAAGTAGAAATTATTTCAGTCTCCGACGCAAGAGGTGACTCTCTCTCTGGCTGTAATACGCTTTTGCGAAGCATTTGAGTTATGCGAGGTGATACTCTTGTAAAAATCTGCACTTTCCAGTATTAAAAAAGTCAGTCCAGTCCAGTATTTAGAGCTGACATTACACAGCGTCAAGAAAGCCGGTATTAAATAAACCTGATCCATTTCAAAGGCAGTTATCAGAGGAGATTATCACTGCTGGGCACTGCTAGCTGGTAGCATACCCTCTGCGTTTCAGTACTTTTATTCTGGAAGGAGATAGAAATTATTTCTGGAAAAACCTGGGGCTGACCCAGAGCAGCACAGTGTTAATAGTTTGTACAAATCCGGACGGTAAACTGGGTGAGTGAAAGGCATCCTAATTGGAGTGGAATGGAAAATGGAAATCTTTTTGCACCCAAAAATAATAAACCGGAGTTGTTTTCCTGTCCCTAATCTGGATGATAAATTTTCAGCAGGAGCTGCTTGCAGATGCTGAGAGAGGCAGCTCAAGGGCTCACTGGCTCCTTGCTCCAACGGGAGCTGCCTGGGGGGCGGCTGTGCGTCTGTCCCAATTTCTATGCTGGAGAATTGAAAATTTTCAGGGTAATGGGAAATTTGCTCTGGAAAAAAAATAGCAGTTATTTGCATTTTCGGTCAGGGTGCTGTTGGAACCAAATTTGGGCTTATGATGGCCAAACCCAGTCTCTCCATCTCAGTAGAAGGGACCAAGAGGCTGCAGAAAATGCCTTGCAGTGAGAGACAAGACCACTATTGGGTTAGTCTACTCATAAATCAAATCAAAGGGAAGGAGGGGGCTTGACTAAAGCATCTAAATACTCTCACAGAGGAGAAAATACATGGTAGCCAAAAGCTCATTAATTGAGCAGAGAAAAGCATGACAAGAATCAATGTCTGGCAGCTGAAGCCAGACACATTGGAAATAAGGCATAAATATTTAACCAGCGGGAGTGATTAATCATCAGAAGAAACTGCGAGCAGCAGAGGTGGGTTCAGCATCTCTTTGCCTTTCACATCACGACCCATCACCTTGTGGAAAGTTTCTCCTGTAGCCCCAGTGCTGGACCAGCAAGAGGGGCTGGATCGAACCCATATGGAGGCTCTAAGTGATTTAATTTGATGGTGCATTTGTCTTATTCATGGTGGAGCCACGGAAAAGAGTATTTCTTGTGCCCTGCTGGCTCTTTCTGAGAAACACCCATGAAATCACTGCAGGCACTTTGCAGGTGCTTCTTTTCTCTTTCTTTTTCAGTTACCAGTGGTCGTTTTCCCGCAGATCTGTGGTGGGAGGGTGAGGGGATGGTGCTTGGTGGCTCTCCTCGACGTCCAGCAAGATAGACTGAGATCCAGGAAAAAACAGATCTCTGTGAGCATCCCAGCATGCTGTGGCTGCTGGGGGAAGGAGCTGGTCCAGGACTCGTCGTTCACCCATGGGCGAGAGGGTCCCCAGCCTGGTGTCCCTGGGGACACGTGTGCTTGGGAGGAGGAGATGAAGGTCACGGGGTTGTTGCTGGTCCCATCTCCTCCCCTTCACTTTTCCTTTCCAATAGAGTTTCTTTTCCTCTGGCTGTTCTCTCCCTGTCTCTTTGCGATGGGGTAGATGCTGTCAGTGGGCATCGCCGTGGCTGGGTTCGCTCCATCTGCCCCCCAAGGCTGCCGTGTTCCTGCTGCGATGGAGCCTGAGCTTGGGGCTGGTCTGGTCTTCCCCATCTACGGGCTGTGGCTGGATAAACACGTGTAAACACACGTGTCACCAGCCACGCGTGCCCCACGGCGGATGTGCCCCCTCCATCCCAGGCGTCAGCTGCTCTTACGTGCAGCAAGCACTTGGGCTGTTTGATTTGAGGCAGGGGGAACATAGTGAGATGCTGAGCTATAGGGGATATATACGTGGCTCAGTAACCTGCATTGCAAACGTGATGCACATCGGGAGCGGTGTTGCAGCATCTCTGAGCCCTCCAAAGCCACCGCACCGTGAGCAGCCCCGGACCTCCTCTTCCTCTTGCAGAGGTGTGACAGACACTCGCCTGGGACGATGCACGACAGGGGGGGAGGCCTGTTTTGAGGAAGATGATGAATGGAAGGAGAAAAGGCATGTGAGAAGGATGGCAAGGTAAGGGGAGGCTTTGCGTGGGCGCTGGGTGGGGGCAGTGGGAAGGAGCTGCTCACCCGTGGTGGGAGCAGGAACTTCGGAGCCTGCAGGAACGTCCCCCGTGGTTGCAGAGTCAGTTGTGCTGATGGAAGGACATGTGGTGGCCATGTGAATACCAAAAGCATTTGTCATAGCTCTGCAGAATAAATACAGACAGTGCTGGCCGGGGAAAATAGCAGGTTTTGGTGTGGCCAGGCACAGCGTGCAAGGAGGTGGAGGATACCTGGTAGAGATCCCGCTGGGAGGCAATCACAGGCTTTTGGCTGATTACTGTAGAGTTGTTAGCAGAGATGTCATCGAATGCTGAAGAAAGGGACTCTGGAAAGTCTGGGTCACGCTTCTGTAGCTGCAGGCGCGTGTCCTCCAACATTGCACGGCTGCGACGCTGCAGCTGGGGAACCGGGCTGCCTGCAGCGAGGAGGGGGCTCACCCGGGCTGGGGAGGTCCACGAGCGCGAGTCCCACCAACCTTTGGAAAGATGTGCCCAAAGAGTTAATGCCGTTGCTGGCTTGTCCCCAGGTAGCTGGGTCCAGCTGGAGCATCCCTGCTCTTGCAGCAGAACCCAACAGCATCACACGTACCGCAGTTTTCTCTTTAGCTTCCTCGGAGATGCCCGTGACCAGCATGCCTGAGCGCATGGATGCGAGAAAAGCCCATTTCGTTATCATCTTATCATGTCCGTTAGAGTCCTCAGGGGGATTAAGACCATGTGTTACGCTGTCTTCGGGAGAAGGCTGCGATTTCTCAGGTGACCTGGGCTGGTGCCTGGTCAAAGTACACCAGTGTTGCTCCAGATGTTGTTGAAAAATGGGATGGCCAGGCTGGAAGCTTCTTCTGATCCAGGCTTCTTATTTTTTCCCCTGTGAAATGCCTTTGCCTCTGCACTCTGTAGAAGCTGTGTTTGATAGAAAGAGCAGGAAAAGAGCGGAGCTATAAATAACATATTCAAAACCAGGCAGGGACCTGCGAGAAGTGAGGATGCTGTCTCTGTCTGTGATGTGGGCTTGGAGGAAGGACTGTACCGCCAGCAGATGTTCAAAGGTTTCCCTTTGTGCTGGAGGTAGTTCAGGGTAGAGGAGATTAAATCCACCAATTGAAAACAGTGGTTTGATGGCAAAGTTTTGACTTTTGCATCCTTGATGGCAAGGACTCGTAGGGACACAGGGGCAGTTTTTCTTCTGGTCGATGTTAAGGAGGGCTGGCAGGGCTGTGCTAACAGCCTGGGGCAGCAGTTCTTCAACCCAAGCGTCTGCCAGTGCCCTGACCTGCTCCCCAGGTTGGGTCCGCCCTGGCACTCCTGGGAGATGTTGCACAGCAGACACCAAGGGATGTCCCCAGGGATGTCCCCAGCAGGAGCAGCAGCTCCGGGCTCAGCTGGAGGAGGAACAGTGGCATGGGGGGATCCATAGCTCTAACCCCATCCCTGCCTCAGTTTCCCCAGTTGCAAGGTGGGAGCAGGAACAGCCTTCCCCAAACCCAGCGAGTTGCAGTGAAGCTGTCGGGGCCAATGCTCGGCTGGCGAGGGACAAAACACAAGATGCTAAGCTCTGCTTTCCAGGCTGATTGCTAAGCCTGGTTTTGGTAAGCCAGGGCCGGAGCAGCTGCCGCCTTCCTTCCCTCCCTGCCCCACAGCACCCGGATGGCCGCTGTGTCCTCGCTTTCAGAGCCAGTGGGTTGGGAAGAAGGACAAACCCCAGCATTTTCTCGGTCCTGGTGGGGGGGAAAAAGGGGTGATGCAGGGTATAGCAGAATCGCACCACAGCTCCCAGGCACGTCCTGCAGCCTTAGTGCTCGCTGGTGCCTCAGTTTCCCCATCTGCAGCGTTCAACGGGTCTCTGATCCTGGGATGGGGAGATGTACACCCTGCAGAAATCCTCCATGCGCAGCAAGGAGGTTGTTTCTGGGTTAGAAGGTGACCTCTTCCATTAGCAGCAGGGACGCTTTTTCTTCCCGAATTAGATGGTGGTTTGGAGGCTTTCCAGCGCCGACATCATTCTGCCTGATAGCGCTGGGTTTGCTCTGGCGGCGAGATCCTGCCGGAGCGAGATGGGGCTGCAGATGCAGCAAGCTGCCGGTACCCCGCATCTCCCTGGCCGTGCACAGCTGGATCATGCCGACTGCTGCAGATGGGATGTTGTGGGGGTCCTCTGTGTGTGCACCGAGTCCCTGCCCGTGCCTGTTCCCTGCACGCAGGCTGCACATTATAAATCTGGAGGTGAGGGAAATCCCTGTCCTGTCTGAATCAGAAATGCTCAAATTCTCTTTCCGGACCTTGGCTGCCAGCAGTCTGTGGTGCAGCCTGTGGCGTTATCAGCGCCGTGCAAGCACCGGGTGTTTGTGCATCCAGGATGCGATTTCAAAGCCGGCCCCAGATGTCGGCAGTGACATCGGGCAGGACCGCTATCTGCCTAAAGCCAGAGGAGCATCACGGTTTCCAGCGTGTTCCTGGGGACCGAGGCGCACCGGGAGCTGTCGCACGGCTGTGGCTGCATCTCCTCCGGTCGTTGCCCACCCAGGGCTGCCCCGGCTAACGTGACAAGGGCAGCCTTGTCAGCGATGCCACCGCATGCTTTAACATCCTCCGCAAACTAGCAACAGCCAAGAGATTTGTCAGAGTCAGGACATTTTTAGAAAGGCTAATTAAAGCCCGTTTTCACCCTTGTGCCTCTCGGTGAGCAAAAGCATTTAGCGGTGACCTCAGAGTGACTGAATTTGCACTTGAGCTTTCTGTTTCACCTCTAAAAAATGGGATTGCTCCGTAAACTCATTAGTGAAAGTAACTCCTGACGCCTTGGCTCCTGACCAGGATGGGCCCCACCAAGTCCCGCTGGGCTCTGCTCTCCTCCCACTGCATTTTGCTTGGGCAAGAGGGCCCTCTTAATACACACGAAGGAGAAATTTGGGGCCGCTCCAGGCTACGTTTTCAGGGACAAATCCATCCTGGGGTAACGGTGCTGATGCCAAGGAGCCCTGCTGAGCTTGGCCCCTGGTGTTTTGGGTTGCACAAGGGAAACGGCCCTCCCTTACCGCTGTCCCTTCGCCACCCTTGGAGGTGACAGCGGCTCCTCCGCGGCCACCAGCTCGTTCCTGCTCTCTCTTCCCTGCTGCACATCTGGCCTCCAAACCACTGACTTTCCCCTTTTTCCTCTCCCCTGCCCAGCTGCGCCCCATGACGACCTCACGCGCGATGTTTTATGGGTCCTCCTCCACCATGACTCCACCATCCAAGAACCGGCTGAAGCGCCAGAGCCGGATTTTCTCCCAAGTCTTATACAGGACGCTGAGCTACAAGGACCGGAGCTCAGCCTCCGCTTCCCCGGCAGCCGGTGAGGATGACCCGGCCGAACTCTCCACCCAGCTCTCAGCCCCTGGCGTCCTGAAGATCTTCGGGGGCAACATCTGCGCGGGCACCAACTACAAGAGCGTGCTGGCGACGGGCAGCTCGGGCGCGCGGGAGCTGGTGAAGGAAGCCCTGGAACGCTACGGACTGAGCCAGCTCAGCGCCGGGCAGTACGCCCTGTGCGATGTCATCGGGAGGTTCGAGGGCCCCGAGAAGCAGTGGCAGACGGAGGGGCTGAGGGTCCTGGGTGACCACGAGAAGCCGCTGCTCATCCAGGACCTCTGGAAACCCAGGGAGGGTTTCTCGAGGCGGCTGGAGCTGCGCAAGAGGGCGGAGGTGGAGGAGCTGGCAGCCAGGGACGTGGACACCACCACCGCAGGTCAGAGCTGGGTGCGGGGCAGGGAGAGGGGCCGGGGAGCTGTGACCACCCCCCCGAGCTGCCTGCGGGAGACGCACCCCACACCGGCAGCTTTTACCCGGGTTTTGGGCATGGGAAGGGGTGGTGCAAGTGGGAGGATAGCCATATTTTAGCTGCAAGGCTCCTGGGTAGAGTTGGTACTCCATGCGTAAAGTGAAATGCGACCTCAAATACTTACCCAGCCAGTCTAGGCGTTCGTACCAAATTCCCCGTCGCGTCTGGGCGGCAGCAGGCAAGACCATCAGCGTTGCCCGCTCTTCCCATCACTGTGAACCAGCGTCATGGTGTCCCATGCCTTGGCACAGCTCCGTGCCTGGCAGAGCACTGCCCTGCTCCCCCTTCTCCCCGTGAGCATCCCCCAGGCTGGATACCCTGGGCAAATCTGCAGGAACAATTAAGCAAAATGAAAAGCTAATGAAGAGAGAGCAATGTAGGGCAGGAGAACCCCCCCGGAGATGCCGGATCAAGTCCAGGGCTGGCAGGAGGAGATAAGTGCATCATTAGGAACCAGCAGGTTAATAAGTTACCCCAGTGCAGAGTAATGAAGTTTTCCTCCTCCCACCCTCAGATAAAAACCCCATGAGGATGAGGGCGGAAAGGCTTAAAATCATATTTTTAATTGCATGATGCCCTTGGTGGGTCTGACCTGCTGACGGAGGGGTCTGGATCAGGGTCTGGAGGTGTCAGCCAGGGCGTTTTGCTGGGATGGGCACTGAGCGATTCCTCACACCTGTAGAAAAGGGTTGCGATTGTCAGAAATAACCTAAAAATGGCGTAGGATTACTCCAGGCATTCAGCAAACAAGAGCCAAGGTTTCCCCACCAGCAGCGGAACAAATGGCCCAACCTGTCCCACGCCAGCGGGGACAGGGCTCCTTTCCCATCTGCTCTAACGAGGGCTGGAAGGAGCCCAGGCACATGGCATGAAGGAAACCAGCCGTGCGCGTTTCGGGGGAGTACAGATGCTGCTGGGGTCCCACCAACCGTGATTTGCAATCGCGATTTTGCCTGGGTGCCCCAAAATCTGAGTGTGGGATTTGCAGCTTCGCGGGTTGCTTGTGTTGTGCGCAGGTGCCCATCAGCACGAGGAGCCAGGGATGGGCTCACATCCTGCCTTGAAACGAGAAGGATAGAGGAACAGTGGAAAATAACCCAAAGCCCTCATATTAATGCTATGCAGGGTGGTCTGCTGGCACCCAATAGTGAGACAGGGCTCCCTCCATCCCTCATCGTGTCCAGTCCTTGTGTCTGCTCAGGGAGGGGATGCTACAGGATCGGTCCCAGCTTGCTGCACGTGTGATGCGAACAGAGAGAAAGAAGCTGCTGCTGCTGGTGCCCAGGCCAGGGAGGAGGCTGCAGAGGTAGATGCTCTGCTCTTCTCTTCGGCTCTTTCTCCAGCCAGGATCAGAGAGATATTACGTGCTTCGGGAGAGCAGTGACTCTAAAAACAGCTTCTTTTGAAGCGAGGAAAGGGCAAGAGCCAAGCGCGATGGTTATAGCACACGGCAGGGAGGGCCACGTGGCAGCTCCCTGCCTGAGCCCAAGGTCACATCAACTCTTGGCCTCAAATTCTCCCCCTCGGCTGCAGCAAGCAGCGTTCCCACCCATCACTTGGATCCTGGGTGGGCTGGCAGCTGTGGGGAGGGTAAGGCTCCCATGCAGGCCAGGGGAGAAGCAGGCAGCGGGCTGTCCGGTGCGGGAGTGGGCAGCACGGAGCTGGCCTGGGCTCAGCACCCTTCGGTGATTTCCCATGGAGGAGCAGTTCCTGACCGGATCGCGTGCCCTGGATCTGGAAATAAGCCCGTTACACTTTCAATGTAGATATCACTTCATTTGTTTCAGCACTTCTGGGTGGGGTGGTGGAAATTCCCCATTTTTTAGCCTTCAGGCATTTTCCATAGCTGACCAAGCTCTTCCGAGACAGAAAACCTACACCCACATTTGTTTAGACTGTCTGCTCTGCAGACTACTCAGCTCTTATTTGTCTTACCTGTTAAAATCTCACTCCTGCAGCCTTTTCTTTCAGTGGCACCAGGGCCTCTGTCACCGGTCTCACCCCATGCTGGTGGCACTGCCCAAAGGGATGCTGCAGGGATGGGACCACGCTTTCCCACCGCATCCATGAGCTGCTGAGGATGAATGGGAGTGATGCAGCATGTCTGGGGGAGGCATCTGCTTCCCCCTCAACTCCAAAAAGACACAAAACTCCTGGTGTGATGGGGACTGACTGCAAGTGCCCTCCACCGGGGTCACCCTTGTCACCAGCCTCAAGCTGGCAGAAGTCCCCTTGCCAAATATTAGCTGCCTGCCCAGGGTCATGGGGCACTGGTGTGGAAAATGCAGCATCTGGCAAAAAATAAAGGGACTTTGGGCTTGCAGGTCCCTGGGGAAAAAACAAACAAACAAACAAAACTGGGATGCTGCAAAGCGGGATCCCCAGAGAAATACCTGCAGTGCCCTTCCCCACGTAGGGCATCACTGGAGCGGCAGGACTGGGACCACTGGTGTCACACAGGCTGGAGCATCACTACCCACCCTGCAGCTGAGCTGGTAGCTGGGGGAAAGGCTCCACACCCATCTGTGACCTGTTAGCAAATAGCTTAAGAGTTTTATCTGCTCGGTTATCCGTTATCCTAATTAGTTTATTAGCTGCTTCCCCCTGGAGAGGAAGGTGCTCACTCCTCACGCCACTAATTAGCAGCCCAGGTAGAGCATCTCTGCAGTAAACGAGGCTGACGCTCTCTCTCACTGCTACCTCCAGCCCCACTGCTTTTGGGGACCGATGAGGCAGCGGTTAGGGAGCATCTGGGGAAAACACCCACAAACCGGAGGGCACTGGGACAGAGGTGCAGTACTTGGCATTTTTACGGCAGTCACCTTCCAAAACAGCCCCATTTGCACCATGTCCTGAGCTTGCTGGGGCTTTCCTGGGAGACTGGAGGCTGAATTGCGTGCACGCCTCAAGAAACTTAGGAGTTAAGCCTGTTGTATTAAAAGATGCTCTGCCAGCTACCTCTGAGGAGCTGGCTTTGATATACTTTAGCATGACTGCATCCAGGGAGGATTCCCTGCAGGGTCTGTGTAGCAATTACATTAGGAAGGACTAGCCTGGCGTTAGCCCCTCCTGGGTAAATTCAAAGCGTTACTTCTTTCCTGGGGCCTGTGGAGTTATTTATTGACTGATCTATTTCTCAGCCAGGAAAAGGGAACCTCTTTCCTAGGCTGAAAAAGAGGCAGATCCCAGCTAAGATCCCAGGAAGGTTTCCCCCCCGGGATGCAGGACGGGTTTAGAGGCAGCAGTTTGGTGGGGTCTGGTGGATGCTGGCCGGGGGGTGCGCGGTGTCCCTGCCTGGGGTGCCCAGCTCTCCCCAAGGGACAGGGTCCCATCCTGCCCCGTTCCCATCTGCATCATGCTGTGGCTTCAGCCGCTGCCGGCTCTGTCCCGGCCATGCTGTGTGGGAGATGCTCGTGCAGCGTTTTGGGTGGGATAACCTGCACGCACTCGGGAGAAGAGAACGGTACCAGAGGATTGAAAAAAACTAACTGGGTTTATGGAGGGACTTTTTGTTATGCTCAGGAAAAGAGCTGTGTTTATCTTTCCAGCGCAGCTCCGGGGTTAGCGGGGAGCCTGTGACGGGGGCTCTATCGGCAGTAAAAAAGCAGCTTTTTCCTATGCAAAATAAATACAGAAGCTTCCTTTCCCCTAGATAAGGGACCGGGGATGGTGTGTCTCTCCAGGCAGTGGGACCCCAGTCCCAGCAGCCCCCGTTCCCTCCTGGCGCAATAAGCTCCAGCAATAGCTGCTCCCCAGGATCCGGCCCCTCTCCTCCTCCACTCCCACGGGCCGGGCTGGGACCTGCATCGCCCCAGTCGTCCTTCATCCCTTTGGCCCATTTCCATGCTGTGGGTTGGAGACAGGGCTCCTGGGGGGAGCCGAGGCCTCCTGCGGACAAGTTTGGGGTAGCCTTCGGCATCCCCAGCGGCACAGCTTGGGCTGTGCTCCTGCCCGGGCAGGCTTGTTGCACCCCTCCGGATTTCACATCTGCGGGACGCAGGCGTCCCGTGCTGTGCCGCTGGCCGTGATGGGGATGTGAGCAGGGCCGATTGCCTTTTTAAGAAGGACACGGGGCACTGGACAGCCAGGGGTGGTTTGGCCATGCCTTGCCCTAATCCCAAGGCATGTAAACAGCAGGGGCTATTTTCTCTCTCTCCCCATCCCCATCTCTTTCATTTTCCCAGCAAAGGAGCGCTCGATTTAAAACAAACAAACAAAAAAATGTATTTCAGAACCGGCAGCCCATTCCTCACCAAATAAGGCAGATGACATTTTTTTGGGGTCTGAGCTTGTGAGTGTCCCTTTAAGCAGCGCTGGGCACTGGGCTCTCCGCTCTGCCATCCCCAAATCCCGCCGGCTGTCCCCAAATCTCGCTGGCCAAAGCCTGCTCGCAGGTCAGCCGAGCGGGGCTCTGGCTCTGTGCTGCACCGATGCCGCTGCAGTGCTGCTCCTACAAGCAAATCCTTTAGGGTTTTTTTTCCCTTCTCTTCGTCCTCCCCGAATGCCAGCGACCTGCTCCCAGGAGGCTGCCTACCCGAGGTATGAGCATCACCCATCGGACCTGCAACTTCTCCTTATTTCTCCTGCAGAGCTCGAGCCACGCTTGCAACACGGAGGGAACCCACGGGGACCCCCCCCAGGGCTGGGGACCATGCGAGGGACTGCTTTTGCGGCTAGGCCAGGCCTATTCATTTGCTCTGGCTCCCATTCGTCTTGTGGACAGCTCTGTCTGAATTGATGCTTGGGAGAAGTTAATTACAGCTTGCTCCTGCGGCAGGCAGGCGGGCAGGCTCCACTGCAGCTCCCAGCTCCCATGCCTGGCTGGTGCCTGGGGGGGGGACCCTGGGGCTCCCCACAGCTCCTGCTTGCTGCTGGCCCCCGACTGCTGAAGGTCTGAAGGCAGCATCCAGGCTCTTTTTTTTTTTTGGAAAAGATTGAGCTCAATTTCTTTTTAGCACAGATTTTTTTCTCCTCCCTGAGCCCTGGCAGTGTGGCTGGGGCGTGTGGGGGATGCTGCGGGCGCTGAGCCCCCCCCGGTCAGTGTGGGCTTTGGGGGCCAGGGAGGGCTGGGGCGTCCCCTTTTTGGTGATGGCATTGGGGCACGAAACTCTCCACCTTTGGATGTCCTGGCATCACCCTTTGGGAAGGGTGAAGAACCCAGGGGACATCAGCCCAGGGAGGGTGCGCGGTCCTGGAGGCGGGGGGGGAGCTTTCAGCCTCTCCCACGCTGCAGCATCCCTCCAGCCGTGGGTTACTGCGCCTGCGGGGGGGTCCCGGCGAGGTGGCGAGGACTGAACGCCGCTTTTCTCCCCCTCTCCCTCCTCCCCCCTTTTTCCCCCCCTACCAATTCCCCGCAGGCATCAACGCCCAAGCGCGGAAACTGCAGCGGCACCGGGCGCGGGGGGCCCGGCGGCCGCCGGCGGGGGTTGAACGGCTCGGTCCCCCCCCGACCCTGCGGCGTAGCCTCAGCGAAACCAGTTTAGGCAATCCGGTTCGAAGGACCGGCAC